TGAATCTATAATAGTTCAAGTAAAATAGTAAATATTATATCTTCCGTATATAAATATCTGCTATCAAACAATAACAATAATATTAAATAAAAAACTCAGAGTGCGGTACGGAATATACTTTTTTCGGAAATTTGAAATATTATCCAGAAATATTATCCAGCGAGAAATGAGTCATCGAATTGATGTCAAATCGATATAAATATGATCATTTCAACATCAATTTGACATCGCTTCGATGTTTAATTGACGATAATTTCTTGTTGGATAATTAACAATTTATTCATAAAGAATAAAATAGACTGTATGTTTCTTAAAATTATATATACCAAAAAGATGTGTATTAATTATGCAAAATAGATCATCTGAAAAATAAGCGAAAATTAAAAATTGTATTGTTTGAATGCTCAAAAAGTATTCGTACAGACGAGAAATTTAGCTTCTAAAATCAGAAATACATGCGAAGCTCGTTTGTTTATTTTAGAACAAAATGTATTTGTTGTATAAAATTGCTAATTAATGTTTATTTTCTACAAATAAGACATTTTTTATAACAAATTTCCTTGTACGAATACTTTTTGCTCTATATATGTATATACTGGTATATATACAGGGTGTTTTAGTTAAGTGTGTTCCCAAACTCAACAAAGCGATTCTTTGGTTTACTTCAAGTAAAAAAGTCCATATAAACATGTGTCCTAAACGGTTTAGTTTCCGAAATAAAAAAATTTAAACGTGTAGTAATAATCTGTTTATTTAAAAGAAATACAACTTGAACTAGTCAAAAACATAAAAATAAAAACAGGCTTAAATTCTTCTGACGAAATAAAGCAATTAGATGAAAATGTCCACCTTGCGCCATGATACATCCGTCTTCTCAAAGATTGACGTACACGCTCAAAGATACCAGGTGTGTTACGTATTACCTCGCATGAAGCAACTATTCGATTCCTCAAATCATTCTCATTCTCAATTGGGGTGGTATAAATCAATGATTTCAGATGCCCCCAAAGGAAATAATCCAAAGGATTTAAGTCTGGTGATCTAGGAGGCCAAGGTTGAGTTAGGCCAAGGTTAGTTCCTGCTCGACCTATTCTGTATTTCGGAAACTAAGTCGTTTAGGACACATGTCTATATGGACTTTTTTACTTGAAATAAACCAAAGAATCGCTCTATTGAGTTTGGGAACATACTTAACTAACACCCTGTACATATAATAATTTGTAGTCAGATAAAATTGTGTGAAATTAGAAAGTATTATTTCACAATATTCAAGACGATAATTATTTAAATTAAAATTTAAACGCTTGGTATGTTTTAAACAATGACAGTAACGGTAATATACAAGCTTAAATTAGGTGACAATTTTATTAATATAAAATTATTTTATATACTATTCGATAATTATTTCCTTAGTGCTACAATTGCATTCAAAGATACTTGTCTCATAATGCATTTTGAACTTTTATTTTAAATGTAATTTTTTTTTATTATTTTAACATTAACAACGCAAAATAATATTCAAATTGAATAATTAGAGTAATGAGAAGCTATATATATCTTAATTATATATTGATTGAATTATAAATAAAAATCAAATTAAGATTAATAAAAAAACGGAATATTTATTGTAAATGTATTTTATATTAATTCTTAGTACACACCTTAGTTTTTGACACCTTACTACACACGATGCGCGAGTCTTTGGTATCCTGGATTAATTTTTTACAAATATATAAAAATTATTTAGCAATTTTTACGTATATTTTTACACCTTTAAAAAGTTATATATTTATAATAAATTGTGTATAAATTGTTGTATACAATTGTTATATATAATATTATTGTATATAAATCAAAGAAAAGAAATGCGCAGATCATAAATGACCCAAAGATGTATATTAATGGTTAAAGCCTATTCTACATAAGACGCAGGACACGAGTCGCAAGTCGCAAAAAAAACTAGAAACTAATCCAACGTATTTTAATTATAATATGATTGTAGGACGCAGAACGCAGGACGCAGAAAGTTGGGTGGAACTTGAACTTTCGCGTCCTGCGTCTTGCGTCCTACGTATTGCGGTCTGCGATCTATTACAATCTGAAATACGTTTCACCCGCGACCTGCGTCCCGCGTCTTAGGCTTAGGTAGATCGAGCTTATAAATCGTCCAACGCTGCGTCTCGGCGAGACCGGTCACCGGTAAGAGATAGGGGTCGCGCGCCGCGTCACGTTTTGTTTGTTTTGTTTTGTTTTGTTGCACTACTTACAGCGCGATCACGAGATTCACGAGGCCGCCGACGCCGGCGTCGCGGAACGTTAGGCATTCGCGT